TACCCTTAAAAATAAATTAGAATAATTAAGTAATTAATAATTTTAGTAATTAACCATTTTGTATGAATAAAATATACATTTTTATTATTAATTAATTGTATAATAAAATACCTATTCTAAATTAGAACTCAAAATTTTGAAGAATAAATATGTTATACTTGCATAATTTATTTATATAATTTCCATTTATTAATGTAAAACGCTCAATTATTCTTGCGCCCATTCAGCTAATCTATTAAGGTTGCCAATTAAATTTAAAAAAAGAGGAAGAAAGAAAAAATACAAAATAGGGCAAAGATTATTTACTTTTTAAAGGTTATTCATTCATTCTGTTTATTCATAAAAAGATTGTGTGTTTGTTATTATTAATAGAAAAATGTTTTTTGTACCAAAAAAATAATTATTTTCTAGGTATTGGTGCAAAAGAATAAAATGAATATTTTGCAAATTAATTATTGTTAAATAAATAAATGTACATAAGCTCTAAATAAGTTGCTAGTAAACTAAAAACTTTAATCAGCTAATCTTGCAAATTCCGAAAAAACTTGCCTCAAGTCTATATTTATTTTAAATCAAAATTTATTTCAAAACATTTATCTTTCATAATTTAAAAATAATATAAAAAAATTTTAAAAAAATCAGAAAAATCATTTAAAACATAAAAATTACATAATTAATATATTTTTAATCATTTTAATTTCATAACAATAATTTTATTTTTTCCTTTCAATTAATTAAGGTGATTTTCTAATTTTTAATATTGACGATTAAGCCCATTCTTCTTTGTTGGTTTTCTTAAAAATAAAAAATATTTGTTTAATTTTAATAAAAATAAATTTAAAATTATTTTAAAATTATTGAGAAATAAAATCTTTTTATTTTCCTATTTACTTCATTTGTCTACATTTATTTATCATTTAAAGTACAAAGACAGTCTTAAATAATTTTAAAAGAATTACCAACTAAATAAATTTTAAAACTAAATAATTCTTAAAAAATGCCAGATCTGGATCGAAATTAATACTCTCGATCTTTTACTTTCGAATTATTTTCGATCCAGTTCTTAAAGTAAATAAAATTTTGTAAACAAAAATATTAAATTTCAAAATATTTCTTTATTTTTCATGTGAATTTAATGATTTACCATGTGAAATTTTAATAAAAAGGTGACTTATAAAAGCAGTCTGAATTAGTCTATAATCTTAGAATAATTTTTTTTTATTTAATTTTCTGTCTTCAATGAAAAATAAAATAAAATTTTTTATTTTTTTATTTAATTTATTAATTTCTTCTTTTTCTTCCGTTAATTTACAAAATAATCAACGAATTGTAGTTGAAACTACAAAAAACAATAAAAACGAGGATGAAAGTAATAAAATAAATTTGTTGAAAATGAAAGTTTACAAACTTGATGAAGAAAGTAGACAAAATAAAATTCAAATTTTATACGAAATTGATGAGAAAAATAAAAAAGATTATGTTTTTACAAGTTCTTACCCAGGCGTGTGTATTAGCTCTTACGAAAATACACACAAAATAAAGGGCATAATTAATGGAAATTTGGGGAAAAAATTAATTTTGATTGAGGATTGGTATTACAATACAAGAATACAAGAAATAAATATTTGTTTAAAAGAATTTAAGTTTGATTGGAGTGAGGGGGATACAAAGGTAGGCAGACCTGATCACGAATACTGATTTTGACATCCGTATCCGGATATTTACGGCGGATACAGACGGATATCCGCAGGCATTTTGGTATTATCTGTATCCATATCCGTATCCATGATCAGGTCTGACGGTAGGTGTACATTGGAGAGGGTTGACTGAATTTTAATTTTTAGAAATTAATGACTTTGATACCTATATTTTATGCCCAAATTGAAGTAGAGGTAAATAAACTGTCAGAGGAAAATACTCGAAATGCTGCTAGTCTTTTTGGTCTAATAATAAATATAAACGGGATAAAATCAATTTTATCGACAAGATCTGAAGAAAGTTATAAATTGAAAAGATTTATATGTTTTTTAAATTTTGAAAAGCCTGGAAAAATTCTGAAAAGAGAAAATTTTAGCAAAGCTAATTTAATTGAAGCAACTTCAATTAATGACAAAAAAGGAGAGAAAATTAAATATTCCCACATTGAGATTTGTTTAAAATTTAAAAATAAAGGAAATTATTTTATTATAGCCGAATGGCTCCAATTTTACGTTAAAATTAAAAAAGAAAATGAGGAAAAATGTGTTTTCAAAATGTTTAAGAAAATTACTAATTTTGATAAAAGATTATTGTCAAGTTTGAGATATTACATTAAAATAAAAATATCAAAAACGGAAGTAAATAATATTGAAGATGGCCAAATGTTTGAATATAATCGTTTAAATGACAACTATCCCAGAACGGGATTTGTTGCCTCAATTGCTCCATTAATTAATGATGGAAGTTATGAATTCTATTTGGATGAGGATGAAATAACAAAAGAAAAAGTTAAGATTGAGTTGTCTAATTTTTAAATTTATAAAAAAAATTCTAGTAAATGGGAAAGCTTTTTTAATAAATCTTTGTAAAATTTAATGGAAGGAAGGGTGAGCAGAGATGAAAAATTTTAGAATAAAACAAATAAAAATTTGATTTGTTCTTTTATTATTTAAATCATTTTTGGAAATTTTTAGCTAATTCATTTTAAATTTTGGGGATCGAAAGTATTTAATTAAAATACCGTATTTATTCTAATAAAATGGCCCCTCCATTAGAATGGCCCCTCCAATAGAATGGCCCCTTTTTGGGGGTAATGAAAAATAGAATGGCCACCTCCATTAGAATGGCCCTCTAATAGAATGGCCCTTTTAACTAATAAGTATATGCCTTAACACATTTCCTTATTTTCCTATTATGTATTAAATATTACTCCTTAGTAAGGATAATCATAATATTTTCGAGCAAATCTGGAGTCATAAAAGGGAGATTAAGAGGGATATTAGGGGATTTGAGAGGATTAGGAGGGATATCAAGAAATTACAACGATTTAATGAAGATGCATTGGATTAAGAGAATTAATAGATATTTATGAAGTTGACGATATAAGGAAGTTGGATATAAGGTTGTCGGATCCGGTTCGGATATTGGATCCGGATATCCGAAGATTTCCAGCTATCCGACAACCTTAGTTGGATACATTTATTTTATCAGGGGACTTGCAGGGACATAGGATTTTGAGGAATAATGATGGATTGATTGAGATTTGGGATAAAATTCTGGATATTTCAGGACCCTTGAAGACATACGAAAATTTTGGAATTTTTTGTAGTTTCGAATTTTAATTACTAATCAATATCCCTCCAAATCTCTCCCAATTCCCATATATTACGTCCAAATTCCGAGATCCCACGAACTTTTATGAGCAAACTATACCGGAAATTTTGATTGTCTGGCACCAAAGTAAATAAAAAGTTGCCTTTTTGCCCTGCAGGCAAAAGATTCTTATGTTTTATAGTGTTACGAAAAGAAAGATTCACTAACCAAAGTCGAAAATATAGAATTTTACACGAAAAATCGATTAAATTTCGAAGTCAAAAAATATTCGATCGAACATTTGATTCATCCTATCTCTGATTTTTACCTATGAAAAATAGAATGGCCACCTCCATTAGAATGGCCCCTCCAATAGAATGGCCCCTTTTTGGGGGTATCGAAAAATAGAGTGGCGGCCACTCTATTAGAATAAATACGGTATGTAAATATTTTTAATTCTTGTATATTTACCGCTAATTGAATTGCCTTTCTCGCTTTGTTCTTCTCCTTCTCAAAAGAGAAAATTCATTAGCAGCAGTTATTCCCCCATCTACTCTTTTACTAAAAATTAATGTTATTATAATTTTTAAATTAAAAACAAAATTATTTACAGCAATAGACTGTCTGTAGAATGAAAAATTGGCTGTAAAGGGAATAAAGGATTATTGTTGTTGTTAATGTCCTCAAAATTATTTTTAATGATTGGAGGCCTTCTCCAATTTCTCAACGGATTAATTTTAAGAGGACTAAAGCCATCACCTTAATTAACAAAAAATTATTTCCTTCCTTTTTAAACTTTCTCCCCAACCTTGTGGATGGCCTTCACGCCAAGAAGTTACTTCTTTTATTCTTAAATTTTTTTTCTCGATTAACGGTCTTTGAATGACATTTCCATCATTTAAAGTTTCATTTCTCTTTATTATTTCATCATTATCATTCTCTAAATCAAAATATTCTTCTACTGATTTTATTAGCCTGTAAAAAATTATAGAATTAAAATAAAATAATTTTCTTTTTTGAATTTCATATACTCTGTAATTTAAGAGAAGTATATTAAATCTGTTATTTAATTTTTTGAGACTAAAAACTAAATAAAAGAGGGTTTTTAATATTTACCTAGATAGTCTTTTAATTTTTAGTTATTAAAAAGAAATTTTTAAAGGAAATAAAAAATTTAAATATAAATTAAACTATTCAACTAAATTCTTTTCAATTCATCAAAAAAATTTATTTTTATTTTTACATATATTTTGAGATTCTAAACGATTCTCAATTCTTGTTTAAAAAAGAATTTGGCCTTGCTCAAGAAATAATTTTTTATTCAATTTTTTACATTTTATTTAAATTTTAATAAATTTTCTCCATTAATTAAAATATGTATTTTTAAAAATAACTTTAAAATATTTAATTAAATAAATTACCTATTTATTTTATGAAATCCATCTCTTACTAATTCTGTCCTTCTACCCATTGCAGTAATCGGTGGACGAATAAGAGGATTTTTTCCAAAACTGTTGGAATTTGTTGTTTTTACAGCATTAGCTACTCTGAGGAATTTAAAGAATTTTTTTAAAGAAAGGAGTTTTTAATAAAGGAGTCACCGTTGTATAGAATCGCTATTTTGATTATTTTCATTAAATTGGGGAAATTGTGGATGTCTCAAATTCTTTAAGAAAAATTAAAATAATTATTTAAAAAAATTAAATTACAAAAGTTTGTTGTTGTTGATTATTAAAATTAGGCGAAGGTAAATTTGCAAAAGCTAATGGAGGTAATCGTTGAGCATTTGGAAGGAAGACAACACGTTCTGATTTGTTAAAATATAATAAAAAATGAATAATGTTTTAAAGAATATTCATAAAAATAAAAAAATCTCAAAGATTTATACCCCCACCTAGAAGAAAATATTTTGTTCTGAATTTTTTGATTCTCTAAAAAACCCAGATTTGGCAATTTAATAATCAAACAATGTAAGGGTATCGAAAATAATGTTACAAGCTAAGTAAATAATTATTTTCTGTAAATTGTTTATTGTATTTTTTTAATCTTGGTTTGTGGAATGTTTGTTAGTAATAAATTTACTTTTCTTTCGCTGACATGTTATACATTGAATTCTGATTAATTCAGTGCCCAACACTGCATTGTTCCTAAATTTAACATAAACTTTTTATTTTCCAATTTAACTACCTGTACAAAGGATTCGGCCATTGGGGACATTCAGATGAAAGACGAAATGCTGTTGAAGGGCTAAAATTAGAAATTAAAATATTTAGTTAAATATTAATTACTTAAATTGACAATGTCTAGTATTTGGATCAAGAATTGCAACCTTTAATTTAAAAAAATATTTTTATTTTTTATTAAAAATATATTTAATTACATCACAATTAAATTCATGACAAGTTCGGGCACATTGGTCAACAGATACAACAACAGCAAAGTGAGTATAGGCTTTTAAAATATCAACACCGGTAACTTGTTGGGTTGTATAGAAAATACTTTGTTGGCAAACTAAATTTTGGGGGAGAAAATGTTTGAATAAAATTCTGATTAAATTCTGATATGTAGAATGATTGTGTATTTGTTTGTTATTTTTTAAAATTCTCCCTAAATTTATTCACAACAAAACATACCCCCAGTCCGAATACTTGCAATGTTTTCATTTGGTATAGGATTATTTGATGTTTGAAAACTTGTTTGTTGTGTTGTTGGGGGTGTTGAAATAAAACGGGATTGTTGCTAAAATTTAAATGAAGTTTTAAAAAATTAATTAAAAACTTGAAATCCTTGTTGAGGAAATTGAGGTTGTTGTGGAGGAGGTCTTCTACTAGGTTGTGGTAATGGACGGATAGTTGTTGGTTGAATAGGAAGAACCGTTTGTGAAGGGACAAGTTGAGCAAATGTTTGTTGTGAAAGGGGCCTTCCAATTATTGGAGTTGTTGGACGTGGACTTGTTGTTCTTCAAAATAAATTTTCTTTTTCCCTTAAATTTATTTATTTCTCTCTACCTAACACTAATTTGTTGTCTTCCAATTAATTCTGGTGCAACTAAAGGCCTGATAGTCGGTTGAACTTTTTGTGGTCTTAATGTTAAAAATAATTTTTTCTTTTCATTTGAAGCCTCCTCTGAAGAAGTTTCATTTCGATAAATTAAAGGAACAAATATTGATGATTCTTTAAATTAAAATATTTTATTCCAAAAAGGAAATAGTACCTCTATGTGGTTCTACAAGGCTTAAGTCATCGTATATATCAAAATTTCTCCCAGCAACATCATTACTTTCTTCTGTTAAAATAATTTATATTTTATTTTTAATTTATTTACGAATAAATATAGTTTAAATTTCTGATTTTTAAAATTAGTATTTTATTTTTAACAAGTATATATTTCTCTTAATATTTTTAACTTTACTAAATCTCAAACCAAAATCAGGCGGGGCACGTCTCTGTGTTTCATCAAAAATTGCTTTTTGTATTCCGTCTCGGTAATGAATTTCTAGATTATTAATTTTATTCTTTATGAGATTAAATTTAAAAGAATTTTAAATTTTTAGGAATACTATAATAATTATTTCTAAATATTTATAGAAAAAACGGGATCCACGTATTCAGAATTATTCTTATCCATATTTATTAAGGGTCTAAAAAATCAAAGTTTCTAGGGTTTTAGGCCTTGAATCCGAAGTCTGAATCAGGGGCTGAAAATTTGAGAAGTTCTCTACTTAATATTAAAAATTCTGATTAAAGGGAAGAATTTATAAAGAGATATTTTGTTAAAAAATATTTAAAATTTTTCCAAAAGAAAAAAATCAAATAATAGTCACAACTCTTAAAAACTAACTAAAAAATTGTTTATTTTCTCCATTTAATGCAACAGAATTAAAAGGTTGTTTTTGTTGTGGTCTTAAAATATTATTTGTTGGAGCAGCAAAAGCTGTCCTTCTATCTCCATTACCAATATTATCCCTTTCATTATGCCTTTCTTTTAATGAATGTTCAAAACTTAAAAGTAATATTTACTCATAATTTTTTAAATTTTATTTTTAAACTTTTGTATAGATGAAAATTGTTGGTGATGATTGTCAACGGCAAAATTTTGTCGATTTTCTTCATTAAATTGTGGCTTACATTGGATAAAATATATTTGAAGTAATAAACAAAATAATATAGTCAAAAAATGCATTCATAAATAAATTTACTTTAAATATATTTTTAATTAATTGAGAGAGGAGAAAAAAGGGGGAGTGTGGAGAGGGAGAGATTTTTGGATATCCTCAATAATTATCCCGTAATAATTTAAAAAAATATATTTTTAATTAATTTGAAGAAGGAAAAAAGGGAAATCCAATTTGGATTCTAATTAAAAAATTTTAATTAATTAGTAATTATGTCCAAATGTCAGTTCCACCAATTAATTTACCCGATATGCCTCGTCTACAATGTGAGGTTATAATAAATACTTGTTATAAATCAATTATTATGATTTTTGATCAAAAAATAATTAAAAGCAAAATAAACATATTTAATCAACGCGTACTCAACAAATAGAATAAATAAGAGCAGGTTTTTAATCCATAAGAAATTTATGTTTATAATGATTAATCTTATGTTTATTAATCAGAGAAACAATTTGTTAATTTTGTTTTTATTTAAAAACTAATAATTTATTAAATTTCTAAAATCAATCGAATTTATAATAGTAAATTCAGGATTAGGAAATGCAAGTATAATTTTTTTATTTTTGCAAGCATTAAACAATTTCAAAAAAAAACAAATTCTTAACAATGCAAGAAATCTCAAAAATAAATTGCTAAAGCAAGCAATAATTATTTAGAAATTCTTTAAAAAATTCGAGATTGTTTTATCTAAATAGCAGTTTGTTATATTAGTAAATATCTTCTTTAATAATTTTATATCCTGAAAATTTATGGACTGTACATTCAAATAGAATTAAAATTTAATTTGAAGGAAAGGCGTTCAGCTTGAAATTTTTCTAATAAAATTTCCTTTTCTAATTTATTTATTTTTTTATGATTTAATAGATTAATAATTCCTGAATACTTTACATACACAGATTTATTTTAGAGCCGAAAAGTAATGGACCGCATCCCCATATAAACAACAAAAATTTTTTTTTTGTTTTTAAAATCCTTTCTTAAAATCTAATAAATTATATTTATTTTTCTCCCTTCCCTTTATCTTCTATGGATCGCTTTTTGTGGTGGCACACGCAGAAAATACTTGCGCGCGTTTTCTTTTTTTTTGATAGAAATCTAAAATTCTCGTACGCCCCATATCCTTTCTATTTATTTATTTTTTATATATCCCGTTCATTAAAAAAGTGAAAAAAAAATAATTTTTAAATAAATGAATAGGAAAAGTGAAAGTAAAGGAAGGTAATATAAATAATTTGTAATGTTTTGATAATTATTTAACGATAAAAAAGAAGAAAATTTTGTTTATATATTTTCTCTACTTTTTATTATCTTAAGAAATAATTATTAAAGAAGGATTTAAGAAAAATCAGAATTTGTAAAATATTCAAATGCAATTAGAAATCAGAATTTAAATTTAAAAATATCTGTAAGTAATATCAAAATTCTGATATAGTAATTGGGTAAAAATTTGAAAATTATTTTAAAATTCTTATTTTTGTGTCAATTGTTGTTTTTTAAATAAATTTTTAGTTTTCTAAGAAATTCTGATTTTGTTTTACTTAAATTCTGAAATTAAAACTAGTATGTAATTCTAAACAAAAATAAAAGATCAATTCAAAAGCCAAAAAAAACAAAAATAATTAGCTTAATTTTAAAATTAGTTGGGAGAGAAGGTAGAAGAATTAAGAAGCGATAGACCACACAAATGGAAATTTTGAAGAAAAAAAAATAAAAATATTTTTTGGACAAAGAAGGAAAAAACAAAAATTTAAATGTTTATATATATTTAACACAAAAATGAGAGTAAAATATAAAATAAATAAAAAAATATAAAAACAAAATCTGGTTGGGTCGCCTTTACATCCGCCGCGCAAATTATAAAGATTAAAAACACGCACCGATTTTATCGGTGATTTTCATTGGCATTTTTGGCTGTTTTCGATTGTTTAAATAAACAAAAAAAAATATTAAATTAAAAAATAATTTAAATTTAAGAAGTAAATCAGAATTATGGAGAAATGAAAGAAAAAGAGTTTTGTGTAGGTATGTTGAGGCAAAATAAAATTTTTTCAAGGCTAAACAAAATTGAAAGGAAGGCGAACATTAAAATATTTATTTTTTTGGGATTATGCAGAAAATTCTTTTTAATTAAATAAATTCCTCTTAGATATCTACAAATATTGCTACATAGTATGGAGAAAAATAAAAAAAAGTGAACAACAACAACAAAAATAATGAATTTTTTTGCACAAATGGATGGGAGAAAACAAGTAATAATAGAAAAGTAGCCAGAATGCGTTAATGACGTGATTAAAGTAATGCTGAATATTTTTTTTCAATAATCGGGAAAATGTAAGAATAAAATATATTTTTTGAAGGGGATTAAAAACATCTATGTATAAAAATTAAATTTTAAATTTTTTAATAATTGTTTTTTTTAAATTATACTTAGAAAAAGGTTAATAATAAATAATAAAAAGTGAAATCACTGCTCTTGTATACTATAACATACATAAGATATTCCTAATGATTTGTAAAAGTTTTGATTAAAAGCAAAGATTTTTTTATTATATAAAATAAACATTTTTCTCTCAAAAAATATTTAATTTTCTTCAATTTCTTCTTTAATTAATTTCTCAGCTATTAAACAATCATTCATTAAATAATTTTTAATTTCTCTTAATTTTAAAATAATTTTTTTGTTTTTTTAGCAATAAAATTTTTTGCTTTTATTTTTTTATATTTCTATTTATTCCTTTTATAATCCATTTCAAAATAATAATTTCCATCATCAATTAAAGGTTCTAATCTTGAATAAAAACAAATTGTTGGTTTAAAGTTTTATTCTCAAAAGAATTTCTCTTGTAAACGAGCTCTCCATTAATAAACTTTTTTTCAGTTTTTGAGGCAAAAACTAATTTAAATTCTTAAAACAATTGTAAATTAAATTAATAAAGTGCATTATTTCTTAAATATATTTTTTAATATCCACGTAAATATATTTGGCTCACTCTTTAGTACATCCGTCCCATGAGATTTTAAGCTCATGGGACGCTTGAGCTTAAAATGCGTCCCATGAGCGTGACATGAGCCATGAGAAAAACCTATCAGATTAAGCATGACCTAAAGTCGAGCCAGTTATTTATCCTTGCATTTAAAAAGGCAAATAATTTAAAATCATTTTATTTTTTCAAATAATCACAAATATTTTTTATAAAAATAATTTTAAATTAATTAATTTTATTTAAATATATTCAACAAAACAAACAAATGATTGTTCAATTTATTCTTTTATTATTTTTATTTTTAAATTTTTCTTTTGAAAATATTCAAAAATTAAATGAAAAGAATTTTGTTATTAGAAGTAGAAAATATATTAATTCAAAAAATATTTCTATAAACAAAAATAATCAAAATTTAATTGAAATTTCTGTTGAATTTGATTCAATGATAAATAAATATAATACAGAAAAATATTATATAACCCCAGTAGGTCATTTTTGCAATACAAAGGAAAATACAAAAATGTATTCTTTGGAAAATTATGCAAATTCTAACGATGAAATAATTAAATTAAAATTTGTTGACAATTTCAATAATTATTACAGAAAGGGGATTGTAATTTGTAGATTTATGAGTTCATACGGTAACCCAAAAATAACTGCCTTTTCATTTTATCATAACTTTTATTCCCGTTTTCATTTTTAAAATTTTTATACTAATTTTATAGCCCATTAAATTCTCTTTTACATAAAGCTTATAAGTATGATTCTGTATATTTCAACTCTTCTCAATGTTGAAATAAGCACAGTCCATTTTGCTAAAAAAATATTAAGGGAAGGAATGAATCTTGACTTTAGAAAAGAACAGACCTTGGTCAGTAAACGTAACCAAAACATGAACATGGTTAAATTCCTATATACTAGGAATTAATTTACTACTAAGGATTTTTTCGACAAGAAAACGTGCAAGGAAATCTGGTTTAACAAGAGAATATCAATTCGAAGGATGACCAAAAATGAACCAGGACTCAAGCCCTACATGCTCAAAAAAGACAACTTCTTACAAAAAAAATGAAACGAGTTAGGACCCAGGGATGCAAGTACCTTCTTATTGTTAGTATGTAAAGTGTCAATTTTTCAAAAGAAAAAATTTTTTTATGAATAAAATATGGTCGAATCGGCAAAATCTTCTCTTTTCTTGGCCCCAAAGTCTTCTCTTTCTAATCCTATAGTTATTCTTTCTTAATGTTATGGGCTGTTATTTGTAGAAAGGTCAAAATAACCTTAATTTTCGTGAATCCTGAGTCAGAATAAAGAGATGTGCATGGTTGGTGAGCCCCCAAATTTACACAGTTTTAACTTGTAACAAATACAGCCAAATTACTCCCGGATTTAGTTTCTTGGAATTTGGAGGCAAGGATCTACACTTAATAACCCAAAAGTTTGGATTCGTTGCGGCAATCACTCGTCCCGGAATGGTAGAAAATCTCAACAGAGGTGCCACGCGCCTTGAACTCCGTGGGCACTTCGAAAATTCATGATTATTTTTGTTCCTTACTTACATATTTCCCTATCAATTATTCGTTATTTGATTTCATTATCTTAAGTTTGAATAAAGTTATGTATGCAATAAATAAGGTGTGCAGTTACTTTTGGGTGGCCTTTTAGAATATGAAATGAAATATGGAGGTATATATACAAATTACAACCCAAGATATGAAGTTTGTTTTTATTTTTATTAATTTAATTTTTACTAAAAACATTCCCAATTTTTATAGAGAATGTTAACAATTAAACCTTTATTTCGTTATCCATTATATTTCGAACCAGAAAAGGAAATTGACAATGAAAATATAGAAGAAATAAAATTAATTAAATTAAATATTTTTATAAAAAAAGAAGGAAAAAATTTAATTGAAATTTGTTTAAAATTTGAAGAAAAGGGGAATTATTTAATTAAATTAACAGATTCATTTGAAACTAAATATTTTATGTTTTTTGTTAAAGTATTCGAAAATAATAATGAAAAATTAATTTCAAAAATATTTGAGAATTTGACAGAAGAAGAAATTGGAATATTTAAAGGATTTAAAGAGGGAATAGAAATTTTAGTTTCAGAAACTACTGAGAATAATTTAAATGATGGAGAGCTTGTTTTTGAAGAAGAAATGTTTGAGAAAAGTAAAATAATTTCAAAATTAACATTACAGCCTTTAATTGATGATGGAAATTATTTATTTGAAATGGATAATGAAGAGGGGAAAATAAAAGAAAAAATAAAAGAAATAAATCCAAAAATTAATTTAATTAAAATTTTAAAATTAAGAGAAATTAAAAATGTTTGTAAAAATAAATTTAAAGAATTGGCTTATCAAAAGTGGTTTTTATTTAATTATGAATATTATGTAATGAATCATTGTTTTATAGCTGAGAAATTAATTGATGAAGAAGATTAAATGTGTTTTTCTGAAAGTAGAGATATTTATAAAATTTGATTTTAAATTAAAACTTTTACAAATTTTAATTTTTAAAAATTATTAAAATTGTATTTTAGAAAATGTACATATTTTTTGTAAATATATTTTTTTGTTAAGTAATTATTGTTTATTCCGGAAACAAGGAATTTAAGTAAAGTATATATATAATGCCCCCACAATTTTCTGTTCAATCTTGGATCTTTTACTTAAGTAAATCAGAGCTGGGCTATAGCTATTTCCCTCCTTTAGCTAGTCCAAAAGGTTAAACGGCGACTGGGTGCCACACCGCCTACTGCACAGCCTTAGGAATTATAAACAGCTACATATTATATGCTTTACATTTATTATTAAAAAATATATAAAATTGATATATATATATAACACAAAAAATATACATACTATATAAAGTATTTATGTTGTCTTAAAATTTCTTTAAAAAATTTTCTTAATATTCCTGTCGTCTTTTCATTTTAAATCTTTTACGACGATGTTGATGATATTGATGGTTTGTTGTTAAAATATTTGAATCCTCCCTCCACAATTTATTTGTAATTGAATTGTTAAATAAATTTTCATTTCCTTCTTCCCTTTTTACAAATTCTTTATCTAAACCCCAATTTATACCAGCACCAGTTAATTCAATATAATCTGTCTCTTGTATTTCTCCTTTATTTGAAAGTTGTTGAGGCTTTATAGTTGTTGGTATTGTTGTTGTTGTAGTCTTGAATAGGAAAAATAATTTAAAAAAAGTTTTTTTTATTAATAATTACTTGCTCTACTACAGGAGGTATTAACGTTGTCGTTACTTGTTTGGTTAAGAGGATTGTTGTTGGTGCTGGAAAGGTTGTTGTTTTTGGTGGAAATCTTTTAATATCAATTAAATTATTCTTTTTCCCTCCATAAATTGGTGGAAATGTTGGATAAGGCCAGCTTGTTGAAAGTATATCTTCTACTGGAAAATCGTTAGAACATTCTAAAATTTTTACATTTTCCCTATATTCCAACGGTTTATCAGCGAAGGAAAACTTTAATTTAAAAAATATTTTTTTTCATTCAAATTTAAAAAATACCCTAATTAATTTCCCATTATTTGGATTAACGGCAATAGCCACTTTCTCAGAAAGTTTTGAACTTCCATATATCCAATTATCATCATTCAATCTAAGACGCGCAATTTGGACATCTAAATATTCAACAGCACGAGATGGTTGTACGAAAGTTGAAAATTCAAACCGTAAAAAAAGAGAAAATATTAGAAAGGAGGAATAAATAATAATAAGATTTTTTAATATTATGTTTTACATATTTGCAGACCAAAGCCCCAATTATTTAAATTTAATATTTACGGATTTTTCTTCCGATTGTTTGATTTTTTGCAAGCCAAAACACGAAATCCTCCACAAATATTTTTACTTTCATTTGTATTAAACGAAGCGAAATTTCCACAAAAACGAGGAGGGTCTGTGTTGACAATAGAAACATGACCATAACCCTCTATTCTTTGTTTTGTATTTGGATTGTCTTCAATCCTACAAAAGAATGATTTTATAGAGAGAAAAGACTTCTTAAACATATCTAAAAAAATTATTATAACCGAGATTTTTAAACAAAGTCTCGATTCAATCCTTAATAAGCAACTAGTTATAATAAACAAAACTCTCAACCAATAGCCAATATAGCTGTTTAATTCTGGAAGAAAAGTAATAAGTTCATCGACTGATCTTCCAAATTCAAGTTGGCCATTCCTGTAGACTGTAGCCCAATAATCGGGTGGAACCTTTAAATAAATTTTTAAAGCCAGATTTTGCTCAAAACAGACCCATAAAGATTCCACAATGGATATAAAGTAATTAATTAAAACAAATGAAAGAAGTGGAGTAAAACTTATGCTATATATTGGCATTTATTTATTGATGCTTGATGCCGTTTGTTTGAAAAATAAATATGTACATTCTGATCTCATTATGTGTTTAAACTTGTGGTTGAAAAATTGTACACTATAATGTGTAAATTGACAGGTGAGATTGGATCGCTCACCCCAATGGCCAACGAAATTTGAAAAAATGTACTTAAATTAATGTAATAATTTTTGTAATTATTATTTTTGACTATAATAGAAAAAAAACTAAATTCAAATTACTAGTTCATTTTTACAAAAATATTTTTAAAATCCTAGTGAATAAAAATGAATCATTCTCGCAATGATTGTTGAGAATGAATAAAACGACACAAAATTGAAAAGAGACAGAGACAGAAAGAGGTACTTGGACAACAATAAAGTGAATGTTAAAATAAAAACTTTATTTTCTTTTATTTTTACAAAAATTCTGCTTCTTCATTTTTTTATTTTACTAAAATCAGATATATCAAAATAAACAAAAAAAGTGTGAGAAGAACAAACAATATAGGGCGAAAATAACACAAATGTAGTATTTAGCAAAATAAAAATAAACTTAATCTAAAGGAACACAAAGGTGTGGGTGGATATGTACTTGGAAGTTGGGAGAAAAACCAGTTATTCTCGTAATCCAAGAACCGTGCAGACAATCCCGACCCTAACCGGAAGTATTCGATTTTCTGATACTTATAGAAATCTAAGCTTGTTTATAAAGATCGGTCTGGATTTGCATCCTGTCATGATTTTTCCTGGATCCAGATCAAGAATCCTGTCCAGGGTATCAACCTAAATCCAAATCCGGATCGGATCCGAGATTTTTCTAATATATGTATGTATACTCTACTTTTTTTATTTTATATTTTCTAGTATTTTTTAAAAACATGTAATACCCAATTTTAATAATTTCTTGAGACAATTAATTAAAAATAAAATTTTAGTTATTTTTATTTAAAAAAATATTTATTGTTCATTTTGAAAGAAATTATAAGAATTTGTATTAGGTAAAGGAGGATAATTCCCTATAAATGTATTTGCTGTTGGGGTTATTAAATCATCAAAAGGTTGTTGTTGGTTGGCATCATAAACATCAAAATAACTTTAAATAAAAAAAATTTTTTATTTAAAAATACTTTTTCCCTTACGAAAATGATTGTGAACGATTTATTGTTGATTGGGGTGATTGTGAAAATATTTGAGTATTATTATTGTAATTATTCTCTTGGTTGTTAATTGTTTGTTGCACTAAAATATATTAAATTATTTTAATTTAAATTAAAAATACTTTGTTGTTGTTGTTGTTGAAATATAGCAGCTAAAGCCGCTGGGCATTCATCATTTGAGCATCTATTACCCATCATTGCAGCACAACGTTCACGAGAACATTGTAATGGTTGTTGTAGAAGTGCTGTTGTTGGGGAAGATTTTTCTATTGTAAAGATGTGTCTAGAAAATGAAATCTGTTTTTAATTTTAGTAAAATAAATATTTATTTATTTATCTGACGAGAGAGAGATTTATAATAGGATTCAAATTCATCCATCATATGTTCGGAGCGGGGGAAAGGGGACCAAAATAAATTTTAAATTAAATGCTCGAATGTTTAAAAATTTAATTATTAAAATATGTATGTTGTTATTATGTAAAGAAAGTTAAAAAATTATTTTTACTTTGTAGATGCAACAGTAGTTACTTGTTGTAGTTGTTGTTGTTGATATTGCTGAAATTGTTGTTGTTGTTGTTGTTGGTTTATTGAAGGGTCAATGAAGAATTGAGGTCTTTCTTGTTGTTGTGAAGTGTTTAATAAATTTTGTTGTTGTTGTTGAGATTGAGTAAATTGTGGAGGACTGTCATCAACCTTTAACAAAAAAAAAATAAAAAAGTCGATCCATAAAGTTTCAAAATTCAACATCCATTCACTTATCTAGAATTTCATGTAACCAAAATCTTAAATCAGGTCACGATTCAATTTAAAACGACTTTCTATAACACTTTTATATTTATTTATAACCCTCAAGTTTTTAAAAATATTTGTGCATCTTTATCACCTCCATTTGTTGTTGAATCCCTTGTTGTTTTAAACTTTCAGCAGTTAACGTAGTATTATAGTCTGGATCAGAATCAACAGAAGGCAATGCTACTAGTCTATCATTAGATTTGTTTATTTCGTTTGGTATTGAAGAAGAAGATCCCCTAAAAATAATATTTAAAGAATTCCAAAAGGTTTCAATAAATTGGAGATTATTTTGACTTCCGTTAAAACTTCAAAGGTAATTAATTTTTGAGGTAATTTAAAATGACTGAAATATATGGGGGTTTATAAATTAAAAGGGAGGTGTATATGAGAATTAATTAACATTAAATTAGGAGCAGAATATTGTTGATGTTGTTGAAATTGTTGCTGTAACATTGTAATATCTTCACAACTTTTTGTTGAAGTGTTGCCGAATTGTGAAGTTATTGAACCGGTTGATTGGGAATGGCACATTGACTATATTTAAAAGGTATCACGACTTTTGCGCCGAGAACAATTGCGCCGCGACTTTTGCGCCGGGCGACTTATGCGCCGCGACATTTGCGCCGCCATTGTTTAAAAAATCCGGATCCGAAAAATGCCGGATATCCGAAATTTTCAGTTCTGAAATCAGATCCGGGATATCCGAAGATTTCCAACTATTCGACAACCCTACTAAAGTGAGGTCCGGCTGTAGTTATTGATATATTTTTAATGATAGTGGCGGCGCAAAAGTCCCCCGGCGCAAAAGTCGCGGCGCAAATGTTCCCCGGCGCAAAAGTCACTCGGCGCATAAGTCGCGGCGCAAAAGTCGCGGCGCAAGAGTCGCGGCGCAAATGTTCTCGGCGCAAAAGTCACGGAACCATTTAAAATATATACATATAAAAATCTTTATAACTCTACTACAAAATTACTATATAAATCCGAGGTCAAAAAAGGTGGGAACGATTAACAAGATTATACTCGCTCAAGTACTTAACTGGTGTTTCTCCAGGCCATCTCTGTTTATAAATAGTATTGCCCGAAAAAATAATGATTATGTGTCATTTCAAAAATGGTGCATTATTATCAGGGCATCCCCAACGGCTAACGGTAAAAGACAATTGAGATGTTATGGCCTTTTAAAACCCTTAAATTCTATCTAAATTACCCTTTTTTATCAAAATAATTAAGAATATACCCCATCATTATTCTCTCCACTGTTTAAAGACAACAAATCATCACCACACCCCACACAATCCTGTATATTTTCCTCACACTCTTCCTCAAGTAATTCGCCAAGTAAAGGCCCAATACCTCCACAGTGACTTCCAAATGAATGTAAGAATTGTAAATTTTCAATCATAATACTTCCAAGTATCATTATATTTGGAAGAAATAAAAGTAAATTTCCAAAACGAGAAGAGGCTACTTCTTTTGGATGGCTTTCTCGAACAACATTATATAATGTTTCCTTTTTTTAAAATATTTAATTGAAAAATTATTTAAATATTCACCTGTAGCCTATCACGAAAATCGGCTATTTGTTCAGCTGCTTCTGTTGATAAACTTGGCAAATCTAGAAATATTAAAGGTTAATTGAACAAATTATTTATTAGGAATGTTTGCTAATTTGATATTACTGTTTTTAAGTGTTGGGGGCCCGATAAGAAAGATCGAGTCAGGCATCGAATTTTGGCCCGAAAAAGACTTGTCGGCCCTACTCGAAAACCCCAACCCTATTTAATGAATCTTTTATTTAAAAACAAACAAGGATTTAATGCAACAATAGCTTTCATTAAAACAATTTCGCGTTCTTTAAAGTTAAATGTTCGAAAAGGCTCTACAAGTTCATCTAAAGCTCTGTCCACAATTCGATTAGCAAAATGGCTAAAAAAAATATTTTTGAATTTAAAATTAAATATTCCTTTACTAAGGTTCTGAATATGTAAGATGAGCACCTCTAGGTACATAACCATAATTACAAAGGCAGAGAATGTCTCGATTATTTGTTATCTTTAAAAGGGGTTTAAATTAAATTTTAAGGAAATTAAGGATTAAGAAAAATTTAAATTTTTCTTTTAAAAATAAGATGGTTAGTGATAAAAATATTTTTTAATTAAAAAATATACACGTGCTGTAGATGACACAGAACAAAATAAAGATAATGGTGCATATGCTGCCTTTGTGAGGATTAACTTTAAAAAAATTATTTTAAATAATTATTAATTAAAGGGTTTTGGGTAAAAATATATTTAATGAAATGGATGGAGATTAAGAGGAATTTTTAAAGGTTAAATGAATACTTTGTCTCTAATATTGTGCAAATCCATTAGAGCACATAAATGATCAATTGTATCCACAGCAGCAATTAATCTCCGATGTGCCAAATACTTTAAAAATATTTTTAATAATTATTATTTATTCAATTATTTAATTATTTTTACCGTTAATTCTTTCGGTTCAACTTGTCTATAATGCTCATATCTTATCTAAAATTAATTTTTAAAAATTAAAAAAAAATAATTTTTAATTAAATACTTCAGTCCTTTTTCCATCCAAACATGTCGGGTCTTCAAACATTTGCCGTAAACTTGTAAAAGGGAGTGGATATAAATTTTCTGGACTTTCTTGGGTGTCTCCATGTTGTATCTAAATATACGAATTTTATTTTTTCGACTTTAATTTCTAATTTTGTATACCATAACATCAATATTCATTATTTGCATTAATAAAGTACGCATTTCAACCTTTGAAATTCTATTTTAAAAAATTAAAAAAAATTTTTTTGTTAGATAAAGAAATTGAAGTTAAAAATTCGAGACTGTTTTTTAAAAATAAAATAGGAAAGTGGAATTTTGGTGGACACATCCCTCCCCCCCCCCACTCCTTAACTTAGACAGATATACTTACAGGCAATTTCCGTACCCATTCTGCATCTGCAGCACCAACCCCATTATTACCACCACTATCAGCAATAATCTCTTGTTCACCTCCAACAACCACAACTTCATTAACATTATTATTTGTTGCCCCATTTAATAAATTTCTTTAAAAAATATTTTTATTTAAAAAATATTTTCTTTAAACCTAGACATTCTTCGTCTAACTGGATGTGTACGGCCAGCAGCATCTCTGTCTGGTCTTACAGCTTTTGGATCCATTCCAACTTCTAAACAGCGTTTGAAACGACAATAACGACAGGAATTGCGTTCATCTTATTTTAATTAATTTTATTTTTATTTTTAATTTTCTAGATTTTTTTCTTTTCTTAGGAATTTGGAATAAGTTTGGAAATCATAATTTAAAAAATATAGGATTAAAGTAGCTTGTTAAAATATGTGTGTTATTACTTTTTATTGCTTGATAGATTTTAGATGAAGACAGTTATGTATTATATATGTATGTAGAAGTTAAAGAAGCCTTAAACAGAGGGAACTACTTACTACATAGATTTTAAATTTAAAATTTATTTTCATGGATTATAAAAAACTCTGAGATATTGAAACTTATTAAAATTATAATTAATTTAAAAAATTATTTCGGAGAAAAATAATTTAATTATAATTTAAATACATATTTACATCTATCAACAATACAATTTCCACTATATCTGCAAGTATATTCTTTTGTCCTTTTTAATGTTCTAAATTAAATTATAATTAAAATCTTCAATTTAATTTATTTAAACCTTCTAAAAAACCCTTTACACCCAAAACACGTCGGAACTCCATAATGCATTCTGGCTGGGCCATCGCCACAAACACGACAAGTATCCAATGATTTTGTACCTTTTTTAGTGGAAATTAATTTGTTTTTTTAATAAAATATAGAAACACTAAAACATATAATTAAATCAAAAATAAATTAACCAACAAAAGAAGCAACAATTTTTGTATTTTAGAGAAAATATACTCAACAAAAACAAAAAACAATTAATTTATTTAATTTACGTGTTAAATTATTTCCACTGTTGTTGTGTGAATTGTTAAGACCACCTTGTTTTTGTTTTTGATTACTTTCAACATTTAATGTTGGGGAAGTTGAAGCTGTGTTGTTATTGTTGTTGGTTGTTGGTTGCATTTTTTAAAAATTATTTTAATGTTTTTAACTTAAAAATGAGAAAAAAGTATATTTAAATATTTTAAAAATAAATGTTAAAGTTCTCAATAATTTAAATAAATGAGAAAAACAAATTTTTATATTTTAAATTAATTAATTAGAATTCAAAAGAGAAATTAAGAAATAATTAATTAATTTATAAATGAAACAAATTTAAAAGTTAACAGTAATAATAATTGATTTATGATTAAATTAATAAATTCTTTTTAGTTTTAAATTTTAACGTTAAAAATACAAAATCAATCAAAATTTTCTATAAATTATTAGAAAGTAATCCCTCAATATTTAAATAATATTCAAACCCGTATTTAAATTTAACTACATAAATTTAAATTTTAAGTTTATTAATTTTAAGAATACAATATTTTTAATTAAATAAATACTATAAAACCTATATATTGCTCTCCTTTAATAATTACCTTACTTCTATTAATTACCCCCTCCAAGGATAGATTGTAATAATAATTGCCCTCTATCAATTGCCCTAAAACACGTTCGAAATTCAAACCTCCTATAACTGCCCTCCCTTGATTAATTACTCCCTTCAACGGAAGGTCGAAACAATAATTACCCAGGATAGTTAATAAAAGTTTTGCGGTAATTAAAAATAAAAACAATTATACTTAAAAATAAATAAATAAATATTTATTTATTTTTTCCCCACTTATTTATTGATAATATTCATTTAAATAACTACTGATTTTATTGACACATTCTTTTTTTTCTCTTCGCTCTTCATTCCTCCCAAAACCACCAAAAATCATCACATCATTCACTCCTCCTTTACCTTCTTTTAAATATTTATTTTTTGATTATAAACCACAATGTCCGAAAAATAAAAAGCAAAATAATTTAAAGAAAAGTTTTTGTTAATCTTTGATTACTTTTTAAATTTAAATTAAAAATTTTAAATTTATAAACAAGGAGAGAGAAAGTAAGAGGGGTTTTAAAGTATTTTAAAAGCAATTTCAAATATATAATTAAAGGAAAATGAACTGCAACAAACTTCAATCACAACATACATTGTGTTAAGATACTATATTTGTGTTATAACGCCCCCTAATTTTTTCTGATCCAGTTGTCCAATTAATCTGAAATTCTTATAGATGATTAATAAATACTATTGGACATTATACCCATCAAATTTTGAAAAGATTGTTAACTCGATTGGTTTTTATCGAGTTTTTCTTCTTAAAATGAGTATTAAGCAAATTCATATTAGAAATTGGTTGAAAATTTTTACAAAAATTTCTGTGAATATTTCTATTGATATCAATAAAGTAAGTCTATAAGTGAAAATAAGGTAAATTTTTAACAAGATCCAAAATCCCGAAAATGAATTCTCTCTTAAACAATTTCACTATAATTAATTTTGACTGAGACTGTAAAAAAAGATTCAAAAAAAGGTATTTATTACACATTAACTAATTAAAAAAGAATATTTTAATAGAAAAAGAAGCGGAAATAAGCCTCCCAACCCAAAAATTAATTAATTTATTGATAGAGGGGAATAATTACTTTATCATAAATGTATAACAAATTGTTTGATTATAAAAAAAGAAAAAAGAAAAAAAATTAAAAGAAAATTTGAGCTCTCATTCTCCCCGTAATAGACAGTGACTGCCACAAATTTGTCGATTAAAAAGGGAAGCATTATTTATTGTTTAATAAATAAAAAGTGAGGGTGGAGGATGGGTGGAAATAAATAGAATTAATTATTATATACTCGTTTTTAGTAATTAAATATTTAAATTTTAAAATAGAATTTATAATAAATAATTTTAAAGATTTTTACTTAACAATTCCAATTTCCCTTTTTTAATTTAATATCCAATAAAAGAGGCAACACTTTTAACAATACATTTCCACATAAAAAACAATAATAATTTTTCATAGATAATTTTGCGAGGGAAATTTATTTATTTAGCTATTATTGTGTAAAATATTTAGATGAATGTTTAAAAAAAGGGGGAAAAAATTATCATCTCGGCATCTCAGTAGGTGAATAAATGTGTTAACTAAGTGGATCTCAGAAAATTTAAAGCTCTCTACATGTGATTCTTATTTAAATAAATCAAAAATATTTAAATAATAATTAAATATACTAATTAATTATTCTAAAAAATACAAAAAAAAAACTAAATATTTTTCAAACTCGTCAAACAATAAACTCTTGAGAAACAAAACTGTTACTCAAATAATAATAAAAAAAAAATGCGCAATTCGAATAAAATACAAAAGAATTTATTAAAAGAAAAATAAATTTATTGCATAATATAAACAGCCACATTTTTTAATTGAAGAAAATATTTTTGATTAGATATTACGAAATAATTATTTTGGGAGAAATGTCTCGGGTTTTTAATTCAGGTAGTTATTTAATATCCAAATTTATTTTAAAAAATTTGTTCAATTAATCAAAAATTAATTATATTAGTTATTTTAAGCATTTCTATTTAAACCCCCCAATCCCTCTTGATATATAAAAAATCAACTTTATTCAAGGATTTTATTCCATTAATTTAAAATCAGGGTAACATCAATCATAAATTAATTACAGTCGGACCTCACATTTACTTAGTAAACCCTAAAATCCAGTATATTGGACGATATTCCCCCACCACTAAATGACCATATTGAAAAATATATCTTCTTAAATTCAGGGGTTTATCGATTTACGTAAAAATAGAGATCAAACTGTAACAGAAAATTAAAAAAAAATATTTCGAGAATCAGGAAAAATGTAAGTTTTCGGTTAATACAATTCAATCAGAATTTACAAATATTAATAATTTTTTTAATTATTCTTGGTCTTTCTTCTTCTTTCTAAATGGAGATGGAAATTCTGGAGTGTTAAAGGACATAAAATTTTCAGACCCTTCACTTATTGGTGAACTGATTTTTAATTGAGGTAAAGTTTTGATTAACTCGTTTGGATTAGTTTTTGATTTCTTGATCTGAATTTTTATAAGTAATTATTATAAAATTATCTAAATAATTTTTAAGGACTAGGCGAGATATAAATATACAATTTCCCCCTTTCCTCTCTTTAATCTCTTCAACAAATTTCCATTTTTTAAGATTCAATCTCGCCTATTCCCCCCAATTTCTTTACCCGTTCAACAGCTTCCGCCATAGGATTTGCATTTTTAGCGATTCCTCGTTGATTTTCATCAGCCTAAAAAATCATTTCTATTATTTTCAACAATTTATATTTATATAAACTCACAAAACTTAAACGTTTCTTAATGTTCAGACCACCAATTCCTTTCTCATTTCCCTTTATTTTTTCAGTCAATTGACACCCAAAAAGTCCCCCTCCTTCCCCTTTTTCTTCTTTTTCAGTTGGATCAAAAAATTGATCTCCATCAGTTAAATCTAAAGGAATAAAGTCGCTGGGCATAACTGAACGACGAGGAGTCGAAGTAAACATATCCGTTGAGAACTTTCCATGAGCACCAGCAAGTGTTATGTCATCAAGTTCAGGATAATACTGAAATATTAAATATAATATATAAAAATTCGTCCCCAACTGATCCCCTACTGGTCAGTCTCTTAATCAACCTTCAGTACTTGTGTAGTTTACATCCCATAAGCAGTGCCTCTTTATCTTTTCTTATAGTGATATTTGGATCAATATACTGAGCTCTATGGTCCGGTATTGTACGTTTGTTATAACTCGGTGTATGACTCTATTCCGACTAGAATTATTTCGAAAAAAACTTTGAAAATCGAAAAAATCCAAAAATATCGAAATCGAAAGAAAAATAATCTCGAAAATCGAAAAAATTGAAAGTATGTATGTTAAACACAGTTGGCAATTTACTTTAGGCACTCAGAGTTAGGAAGATCCTTGGAAATTCTCATATATCCAGTGCCGAAAAATTTTTATTAAGGTAGTGAATTTTAACCTCACTCTCTAACAAATTTCCATTTTTTAAACATTCAATTTTAACTCAACTCATTTACTCGAAGGGCGTATACAGGGGGGTTGAAATCCAACCCTTCCAATAAATGGGGAAAATATTGGGAGAATGATGATCGAAAATGTGAATTATATTCTAGCAATCCGACTCCTGGAACGCCAATGCTTTACTAACCGAAGTCCCTCTATTTTCAACAGCTTCCGCCATCGGATTCATATTCTTAGAAACTCCTCGCTTATTTTCATCAGCCTAAAAAAATTAATTAATTTCCTTTATATTTTTTTAAAAACTTACAAAACTTAAACGTTTCTTCATTTTCAAACCTCCAAAATCTTTTTCATTTTCCTTTATTCCAGCTTTTTCAGTCAATTGACACCCAAAAAGTTCACCCTTTTCTTCTTTTTCAGTCGGATCAAAAAATTGAGTTCCTTCAGTTAAATCTAAAGGAACAAAATCGCTAGGCATTACTGAACGACGAGGAGTTGAAGTAAACATATCCGTTGAGAACTTTCCATGAGCACCAGCAAGTGTTATGTCATCAAGTTCAGGATAATACTAACAAATAAATATTTTTAAAATCCGTCCCCCCTTCTTTCCCCCCTAATAGCCAATGTTGTTCTCCCAACTTTTCTCACCACCAACTGCCCAAAAAATTCTAAAATTAACTAACCGAAATCCTTTTATTTTTAACAGTATTTTGAACAGTTATAGAAGATTTTGTATAAGTAACATCCTTATAAACAGAAAATTCTTCGTGAATTGCTGCTGAAGTCGAAGCAATTTTTGGTGATAAATTAATTTCTTTTACTAATTTTGACTTTTCTTCTTCAATTTTGTCAGTATTTTTTGTTATTTTTGATTGATTTTTTGCAATAATTATTGTTGTGTCAGAAATAATATTTTGTGGAGTTTCAACAACTTTATTTCGTTGAAACAAAGTTAAATCAGACCTCACAACCTCCGATTTATCTGCCAACATTTTTATAACATCCAATGTTTTCCCTTCATTAAAATAATCATTTTCAAAGTGTTTTTGGAGTAAAGTTCTTTGAAAGAAAATTTTTTAGAAAGATTTATTTTTTAATTAAAAAAATACTTGAAACGTTCCTCAAAAGGACCAAGTTGACAATTTTCTTCACAAATTTGAACAATTTTGTCAAAACTTTCTCGATTCTGTTTTGATCCAAAATAATCAGCCCACATCAAATAAAATTCTGGAACATTTTTGAAATACCCAAGACGATGAATTCTTTCTAGAACAGCTTCCATTCCCATATTAACGCTGTATTTTCCCTTAAATTAATTTTTTAAAAATATTAGTCAATATTTTACTTCAACACATACATAAATGTTCCTCTCTCTCAAATCGAATAATTTTTGCGGACAACTTTTGCGGATTTATTTACCTAATTTACAAACCCAAGTACTACCCTACTAATTGAAGTAATTCTGTAATACTAAATTACAATAAGCATGACATCTTCAACAAAAATCGATTTTGACTGTACTACTTTGTATATTCAGATGTTCCGAAAATTATTTTTGTCAGCAAAATTTGTTTTCAAAAAATTAAAAACTTTTTATTTACCATTAGCCACCAAAAATCAAGCATTCGGGGATCACTTTTATAATTTTCAATTGGAATAAATTCTTTTAAAGCCCAGATAACCAAAGATTTAATTAATTGACACTTCTTCGGTCCCTCCTTCATGCAATCTTCCACTGAATTTACTTGACTAAAAATTTTAAGGAATTTAAATTTAGAAAAATTAAAAAAAAACCTTCGCAGAAATACAAAACGTTTTTCATCATTCTCGATTGTTTTTGCCATTCTTAAATTTTAAATTAAAAATATATATTTTTTAACTATTAAAAATACTTACTTTCTGACATAACGAAAAGATTCATTTTTTTCATTTGACATTTTTTATTAATTTTTTAAAAAATTGCTGCCTAAAATATAAAGAAAAATTGAGTATAAATTTAGACATAAACTATTAAACAATGAAAGGGAAAAATGTAAATTTTCTCGGCAAGCCGTCAAAATAGAAGCCACTTTTGAATTTCCATTTACGCGCCAAAACTGAGTTGTGGTCAGTTTGGTGTTTTGATTTTAAATTTTTTTATGGAATGCTTAACTTTGACCATCTGGAAAAATTCTGCTTACTAAGGGCTTTTGAATGATATAATAGAAATATTATCAAAATTAAGATCACTACTAAAAATATAAGTCGATCAAATTTGACTGACGCTTACTGGCCGAATTCAACATACCCGCCAAACCAAATCCAATACAGTAAGAAACTACAATCTGTGATAGTAGTTAACCCCCCCGAGAAGTCGTTGGGGGCAGCGGGGTCCAACCATTTAGCCCCTCCCCCTTCTTAAACGACCATTCAACCATTCCGTCGTCAGAGTCCAAAGGTTTAAGGATTTCCCTTTAAGGGATAATTTGATCAAACCGGTTTGGTGCGAACTTTAAAAAAAAAACACCTTACCATACCATTCCCCACATTTTTCACCAAATTTTATTCTAAAAATTTTCCCAAAGTTTCTAGGGTTCAATAAGTAGTTTTCAAACGGTTCAATCAAGATTTCCCATATTTTTTCTTTTTAAAACTGTTTCTTAAACTTTTAAATTTCTTTTCTTACAATATCTCATTTTATTATTTTTACCCTTTATACTTAAAAAAAATACAATAATTATTAAAAAGTAGGCGGTTGAAATAGAAATAGTAAAAATCAGTCATGCAATAATTATGTTGCAAAATTATTGTTGAAAAGTGAAAATTGGTTAGAAATAGGTCATGCAAGAGAAAAACTGTAAAAATTTGTAAATTATTGTTGAAAAGTTAAAAATGGGTAAATTTTTAAAAAGTAGACGTTGAAGATAGAAATAACTTTAAAAAGTATAAATAGGTAAAAAAATAGCTCATGCAAAAATTGTTCAAAAAATTATTAAAAAGTAGGCGTAGAAAAGTGAAAATAGACTATAATTATAAAAACAAAATATTACTGTAATAGGAAAAATAAATAAATGAAAATAAATTAAGTTTTATAATTACCCCTCTCTATTAATTACCCACTAATAATTTAAAAAATTAAGAGTTTAAAAAATAAATTCTACAAACAACATCGTCGCATCATTCACAACTTGCTAATTATATACCTAAAAATTTTTCTTTACCAGATATTATGCTAATTTTCTTTCTCAAAATATTATTTAAAATTTAAAACATTTCCTATCTAGTTAAATTATGTTAAATTTATTTTTAAAATTCCTCTTCTTGACTGGAAATAAAGAAAAAGATTGTTTTATATAGGGATTTCTCTTCTTTTGACAACATCCTAAGGAATAAAAACAAAGGTATGTATTATTACGAAACTAAACATTATTACGAAACTTGCTCGCTCTTTCTTTTTCTCTTTAAATTCTTTTGCTTTTTTATGCAAAATTTCTTTTAGGCTTTTTCCCGCGACTGGAAAATAATGAAATGGAATTTCAGTGAAATACCTATTTTACAACACATCAATTATTTTATGGAATATTTTCTTAAAAAAGGATTTCACATTTCTTTCTTCATTCTTTAAAATTCTAAGAAATTTAATACTTTTGAATTAGTCTCTAATTTTGAATTTATTTTATTATTAATGTCTCCTCCACCTTCGAAGAAAGCACGACATTTCTTCATTGATAATCTATTACAGAAAGGTGATGGTGATTATGTAAAACATTTGGGTGAAGAAACCAAAATCACCCGGAAATTTAACCTTACCAAACTGTCTACTAAATTCTTAATTTCGAATATCCCACCCGATCCTGAGGGTTTATTAAAAGGAATTTTCCAAGAATGCATCGACAAAACATTGGAGACGAGTCATGGTCATCAGCTTGAACCAGATCAACTTGGCTGTACAGTGAGCAGTCAATTGTTAGAATCAGATATTTGGATTCCAATACGTGAAATTACTCCCAACACGGTGGATTCAATTCTTAACCAATTTCTAAAAGTGGCCCAATCTAAAAAACAGGATCAGGGAATGCTTTGGGGTGAACCATTTACCGTTTCTGTTACAGCTATTGACAAAAAACATCTGCCTACAACACGTTCTATTAATGGTAGTGGCAAAAATCCATCACCAATTCGACATAAAGTTAAAGACCACAACCTCATTAAAATTATTAATTCAGACAACTACTGTTTATTTCGATCATTGTCTGCCACCTTTAAATTTTCAACATGCTCATGGCCGAAATGGAAGTTCTATGACTATATGCATAGCAGATTAGGAATGAAGAAACGTTTGGAACATGATACAACATTCTTGATGGAAAATGTAGGAGCTCCTCTTGATTTAACAACATATGATGCAAATGAATGGGTACCCAAGGTGGTTGATTATTGGAATTCAAGGAATGATGGCCTGTTTAAAGTTTTTATTTTTGGAGAATTAGATGAAAAACCTATCTTTAAATATGGGGATGAAAATCACACTACTCCAATTCTTCTTTATTACAACAATAATCATTTTGATGGAGTTAGAAAAGCAAGCGATTTATTTGGTAAACCTTATTGCCTATCATGTGAGATAATTTACAACCGCCCAAAAGATCATTCTATCACCTGCACATCAAAATGTCAAAATTGCTCCAGGATCGGACCCAATTACCCATGCCAGCCTTTAGATAACTACTCAAAACTATGTAATAGGTGTTTTAAGGAATTTAATAATGAAGAGTGCTATGACCATCACATCAATTCTAATTTCTGCAACAACTCCAAAAAATGTGAGAAATGTGGAGTGATATGGTATGTGAAGGACAACAACAAGAATGGGCGCAGTGGACATGTTTGTTCAGAACGTTACTGCACCACCTGCTTTAGCTTCCATGACCCAAAAAGAGGTTGTTACATTAAATCTCTAACTCAAAGGAAGCCAAAACCCTACCGAGTCATCGCTTTTGACTTTGAAACCATGCAACACAGGCAAGACGAAAAAGGGAAATTACATGAAGTGAATTTTATATCTGCAAAAATCATCTGCCCCGAGTGTATTAGTAACGGAAACAACGATTGTACTATTTGCGGAGAAGAACGAACTATAACCTTCTCCCACCAACCATTTTCCAACACTCAAGTCGATCAACAAAATGTTACTAATGATCCTCTGACTGATTTTGTAACCTGGATCACTAATTTTTCTACTGATACAATAGCCTTCTCTCATTTTGGAGGAAGGTTTGATATGGTCCTAGTCTTCAAGGCATTGTATCTCAAAGGTCTAATCCCAGAAATGATTAAGAAAGGTAACAA